GACGATGCTCGAAAACGTGTTTTTGTCCGAAACATTCGCCCTCATTGCTTATACATGGGATGGGCACAATTTTTTCCAGTCATTCACCCTGAACTCACATCAATTACCAATGCAAAGGAACACTTGTCACCTTGACAGTTGCTTTCCTGTAAAATGATGCAAATGGAATGCAATCCACTTGTCCAATCTTGTTGTCAGCGCCAGAAAAAAAAGGGAAAGAAAAATCAAGAGAAACGCGCCTCTTTTATTCATGTGAAGCCCTCGGGGAACATAATTGTACAAAATAATTGAACCAGCAAATATTCAAGCATCACACAAAAAAACCTAGTGATTTGAAAATGGAAGAAAGCAGGTTCATTTTTTGAGGATCATCAGATTCATCGGTTTTCTCGGCCGCTGTATTTGCTGAGGACTTTTCGCCAGGTTTTGTTGTCCACCTTGGACAAGTGCTTCATGAAGTCTTGTCCGCGGATCCGTTGCTCAGAACTGGGACAATAAGGGTGTCTGGCCCTTGGTGGGCATAAACTTGGGTTCACCAGACCCACCATGATTCCTGCAAGATGAAAATAACCAATTGTTAAAAAAAAGTTCAAGTATTCTATGAATCGATTGAGTTTTTGAGTCATGAAATAACTTTTTAATTTTTTGAAATTCCTGCTGCTGCTGAGAAATGAAAGAAGGCAAGTGGATTTTCTTGTGTTTCTTTTTGAAGGACTTATTATAATTTTTGTTGTTAATATTTTAATTTGTTTAAGGGACAAGCAGAACTCAAAGATGTTTTGAGTTTTAAAAGTTAACAAGTAATTTCATTTGGGAAAAGGAAAAAATAATCATAGGACATTTAAATTGCTGGTAATATTTTAAGTCTTGAATTGCTTCTTAAATGAATTGACAGGATGTTGAACTTCGGAGGCAAAGAAAATTATGAGCCCAATTAGTCTCCCTCTTACTTATTGAAAGAGTATCATTTTTTATTGTTTGCCTTTTCCTGTGTCAAGGAAAAAATAGCCAGAAGGCCTCCAGAAATTTTGATTTACAGAGGTCTGAGTATATATAGGAAAGCCATTGAGCTATAGGGAGGGGTTTAACCCTTGTGTGGCATAATTGAAATACTTTTGCAAAATGTTGTGCCTGCATAGGATCACAGAAAATAAATAAAAATTGCATATTTGATCCGAGGCCTAAGTTGGGGACAAGCCCAATTTTTTTTTTAAATAATCCTTTAACCCTTGGACGGCAAAGGGTTCCTTTCCATTGCGCGGCAAAGTCAGGATTTTCTTGGGTGGTCTCGCGTTTCATTTTTCCTGAAGGCCACAAAAGCCAAGCCAGGTCACCTAGGGCAAAGTTGGACTTTGTCCGGCAAAACGGTGCAGCTAATATTTCCCGAAGTTGGACTTTTTCCGCTAATATTTTTCTGCCTCTGAATAAGAATCCTCTGTCTGGTGCCCTGAATGAAAGGGTTGCAAATCAGAGAAGAATGCAACTAATCCTGCAAGAGGCTAAAAAAAAGCTCAGCCTTGGTGATGCATTTTTTTATTTTTGGGCAAAGTTTTTCTGTGGATTTTAAAAAATACATCGGGATTTTGCCCGNATTTTTTTATTTTTGGGCAAAGTTTTTCTGTGGATTTTAAAAAATACATCGGGATTTTGCCCGACTTTGCCCTGGGTGAATTGTTCCTCTTTTTTTAAAAACCTGTCCTGACAGACACAAAATTTTGTTGAAAAAGTCCAACTTCGCCGCACAAGGGTTAGAAAACTTTGCCTGAAAAATAAAAAAATTCCTCACTATGGGTGGCATTTTTTCCTGCATTCCTTTTGCATAGAATTACCATTGGCAATTTCAGAAGGCAAAGGGACTTTCTCAACTCATTTTTTTTTCCTGACTTAGGCCCTCTCCCATGCCACTGGGCATTCCATTGATGGACTCAGTTATTGTAGGATGGAAAAGAACCTGTTGTGGTGGAATAATTTGGTACGTTAAAGTACCACAAAATCTATGCAGAACATCATTGGAGACTTTTATCATGTTTTCTACAGATCATGGAAGAGAGAGAGTGAAAACCATTGAAGGTCACTCTAGCAACATTCTTGAATATTATTTTATTCCTGAGTCTCTCTCAGTCCACTGCCAATTATTATTCCAATTGTTATCTGATATTCTTATTGTGCGCTGTGTTCTGTGAATCAATTATTCATGGGGTTAAAGAAATATACTTTATCTGTTTCTTTGGTATCTTGTAAACAAGATCCCCAGGTGAACCCCACACCTGATTAAAGTGCTTCATTTCGAATTCCGCGCCTTTTGTACCAGTTTGGGTACACCTGTTGCCATCCAAAGGTTAAAATGCATTGTTTATATAAGGGGATTCAGACAGAACCTTGAAACAAATTTGACTTTGGGGTAGTGTTCAACTCCGGGAGGTTTGAGTTATTCAGATTCAACTGTATAATTGTCTGACACTTATGATGATATATCTCACTTCTCAACTCCCATCCACTGCAAGTGCACTGAATCTTGCGTACGTCTTCACCCAAAATACAAGCCTGATAAAAGGTGTACAGAGTCGGGTTGTCGATGATGCGCTGGATATCCTCTTCGGGAACGTTGTCCAGGGCACCCTCGCAACCCACCCGGGTCACTGCGTCCGAGGTCAAATGGGCCGGCACATTGCTTTGTGCCTGGGTAAAATCAACTGCAGTGAGTGATGCGACCAACAGCAGCAGTAGCACCTATACATAAGAACCAAAGTTTCCCCCAGAAAAANATCATCAGATTCATCGGTTTTCTCGGCCGCTGTATTTGCTGAGGACTTTTCGCCAGGTTTTGTTGTCCACCTTGGACAAGTGCTTCATGAAGTCTTGTCCGCGGATCCGTTGCTCAGAACTGGGACAATAAGGGTGTCTGGCCCTTGGTGGGCATAAACTTGGGTTCACCAGACCCACCATGATTCCTGGCAGATGAAAATAACCAATTGTTAAAAAAAGTTCAAGTATTCTATGAATCGATTGAGTTTTTGAGGCATGAAATAACTTTTTAATTTTTTGAAATTCCTGCTGCTGCTGAGAAATGAAAGAAGGCAAGTGGATTTTCTTGTGTTTCTTTTTGAAGGACTTATTACAATTTTGGTTGTTAATATTTCAATTTGTTCAAGGGACAAGCAGAAAATGTCAACTCAAAGATGTTTTGAGTTTTAAAAGTTAACAGGTAATTTTGTGTGGGAAAAGGAAAAAATAATCATAGGAAATTTAAATTGCTGGTAATATTTTAAGTCTTGAATTGCTTCTTAAATGAATTGACAGGATGTTGAACTTTGGAGGCAAGGAAAATTATGAGCCCAATTAGTCTCCCTCTTACTTATTGAAAGAGTATCATTTTTTATTGTTTGCCTTTTCCTGTGTCAAGGAAAAAATAGCCAGAAGGCCTCCAGAAATTTTGATTTACAGAGGTCTGAGTATATAGGAAAGCCATTGAGCTATTGGGAGGGGTTTAACCCTTTGTGTGGCATAATTGAAATTATTTTGCAAAATGTTGTGCCCGCATAGGATAAAAAAATAAATAAAAATTGCATATTTGATCCAAGGCCTAAGTTGGGGAAAAGCCCAATTTTTTTAAAAATAATCCTTTAGAAAACCTTGCCTGAAAAATGAAAAAATTCCTCACCGGTGGCATTTTTTCCTGCATTCATTTAGCATAGAATTACCATTGGAAATTTCAGAAGACAAAGGGAGTTTCTCAACCCAGTTTTTTTTCCTGACTTAGGCCCTCTCCCATGCCACTGGGCATTCCATTGATGGACTCAGTTATTGTAGGATGGAAAAGAACCTGTTGTGGCGGAATAATTTGGTACGTTAAAGTACCACAAAATCTATGCAGAACATCATTGGAGACTTTTATGATGTTTTCTACAGATCATAGAAGAGAGAGTGAAAACCATTGAAGGTCACTCTTCGTTGTAAGAACTTATAATAAAATAAGGACTCAGAGAGAGTCAGGTGACGGTTAATAATAAGGTTAACAATAGACTATAAGAATAACACGCGACACAAGACACTTAGTTAATAAGTACCCCAATTTCAAATATACTTTATCTGTTTCTTTGGTATCTTGTAAACAAGATCCCCAGGTGAACCCCACACCTGATTAAAGTGCTTCATTTCGAATTCCGCGCCTTTTGTACCAGTTTGGGTACACCTGTTGCCATCCAAAGGTTAAAATGCATTGTTTATATAAGGGGATTCAGACAGAACCTTGAAACAAATTTGACTTTGGGGTAGTGTTCAACTCCGGGAGGTTTGAGTTATTCAGATTCAACTGTATAATTGTCTGACACTTATGATGATATATCTCACTTCTCAACTCCCATCCACTGCAAGTGCACTGAATCTTGCGTACGTCTTCACCCAAAATACAAGCCTGATAAAAGGTGTACAGAGTCGGGTTGTCGATGATGCGCTGGATATCCTCTTCGGGAACGTTGTCCAGGGCACCCTCGCAACCCACCCGGGTCACTGCGTCCGAGGTCAAATGGGCCGGCACATTGCTTTGTGCCTGGGTAAAATCAACTGCAGTGAGTGATGCGACCAACAGCAGCAGTAGCACCTATACATAAGAACCAAAGTTTCCCCCAGAAAAACAAAAACAAATCAGAGGGATTTTAACAAGTATTTACAAAAAAAAGTGTCCCTAAAAAATTGGCAACGCTGGCCATTGCAAACTTCGTCTGAGTTAGGTTTGGATTTTCGATGAGGAATGCGTCAGATGAAGTTTGTTATCAGGTTAATATTTTTAAAAATGATTTAAAATTGTTTTGCGTGCATAACCTTCACTTCGAAAGTTTTAAACGCATTCTGAGTTCCTTTGATACAAGACTCGAAGCTACTTTATTGGCACTTTTGTGGTTCTTCCCTTCTGAACTTTGAATATAGCACAGGTGATTCAGGTGCATCACTGAATAATTTCTCAGTAAATTTTTTCGAAACACTTGGTTGATGGCACTAGGAAGAAAATGTTCAAGGATCATCATCTCGAAGAGGAAGTGATAAATGGCTGAAGAATCAGTTGATGAATTTTTGCTCTTTTTCTAATTGGGGGTATCAAAGTAGGGTCAATGGAATTCAAAGAGCTTATTTATTTTAAAGACTGAATATAACCCAGGATATTCTCTGGGATTTGTAAAATACCCTTAACAGGTTTAATTTTAATTGAAAGACACAAATAATCCAAAAGAAAAATATGCCTGAATTGTGATTAGATTTTCTTTTTGAGGTTTCAAGTACAGAGTTGACATATACTGGATTTTCCTGACAATCTAAAATCGACGAAGTACTGTACTTGACTTCAGTATATAGGAGGATCAGGAGACAATTGAATCTTTTTTTTTATTTCATAGTTTTGCGGCAAGAGGAGACAAATTTGAGCAGTACAGTATTCTCAAAATCACATTTTTGAAAAGTGATGAGGCTCATCACTTTCAACTTTCGAGGGAGTAAATACTGCTCTGATAAGAACATATATTTAGTGCCTCATATTTAGGGCTTTTTTCAATGACAAGGTAATATAGGGACAATTAAAACTTTAAAAAATCTGACCCAACATCCAGACAATATATTAACATACAGATGCTTCCAAAATTTCTAGAAAAATTATTATTTTCCAATTTTGGATATCACTTGAAAAAATTGAGTGGTTTATAGTCATAAAAATTGAAAATTAACTTCAGTATAAATTAAATCAAATTTATTATAAAAAACAGCTGGCATGAATGAATGAATGAACAGAACACTTTATTTGCCGCTTTTCAGCGTTCACAAGGTTTAATCAAGTTTTCCACATCCAAACCCCCTATCCCCACCCAACCCATTTGTCTGAAATTTTGTACTTTCAAAAACAGCTGGTACATTTTGTACTTTTTTTTAGCATTCTTCATCAATTGTGCATATTATAGCAAGACTTTTACTTCTTTTTTACTTTTCAATGCCTTTCTAGTCTAAACACCAAAAGAAGACGTGTCAATATAATACATAAAATTTCAACTCTTCGTGTAGTAAAAGTTAAAAACACCTTAAATGAAGATTAAACTACTTTCTCTTGGTTAATTGGGAACCTCTGCAGAGGGTCCCTGGCCACCCTGTGGCAAAGTCAGAATTTTTTGGGGGATAGGCATTTCTGTTTGACTGAAGGTCACTGAAATGCCCCCAGGTTGCCAAGGCCTAAGTCAGGAAGAATCCAGGTGCAGAAAATCCCATTCTCTCAAGAAATCCCTGTTGTTAATCCTTTTGGGGACAGAAGTTACTTCAATATAATTAGGTGTGTAAAGCAAATCGCAAAGAGTAAGAGTATAAATGAGAAGCAGTAATGAGCCCGGGACAAGGGCCAGAATTCCTTCTTGGAATTCCTGGGTTAAAAAGTAAGGATATATTTCAGGATTTAGATCACAAAACTTAGCAAGCTCTTGCTTCAACTAGATAAATGGTTAAGATGATTCTTCTATATTGATTCTAAGTTCTGCAATTTACCAGCATGACTATTTATATTTAACCTTCAATAGCCTTTACAAGCCCTTCATAAGGCTTGTCAATTGGTTTTAAGAGGGAGGTAAAACTCTAGAAGATTCAAGTCAATTACATCATTAATTTGCTTGCCTAACAAATTCTATGCTGGGAATGCAAAAAATGCCTCCCAGCAGAGATACTTTTTTGAGGCAAAATTTTCTGCAGGATAAAAAAATTGGACTTTTTCCCAACATAGGCCTTGGTTTAAAAATCAGATTTTTAAAAGTTACAGAGATGATGGGGACAAAATTTGACAAAAATATCCCAACCGCACAATAGTTGAATATGTTCCCATTGAAGTCTTTTTGGGGAAACCTGATCCAACATGCGGACATTCTGTATCATAGGGACACTAAGGTCCAAACACCAATTACTTCCACATCTTGGGGTCTCACTGTAATTTTTGTTGTTGAAAAAGTATATTATTGTAAGTGCACGAAGCAACAAGTTTGCAACTCAACACTGGCCTCACCCTGAAAATCATGTCTGAATAATTTTCGTCTCCTTCAGTTTGCTGAGTGTGAGTGAACTGACTGACTGACTGAATGATGGACTGAGCCTCAGTGGTGGCCTGGGGCCTGTCTTTTTATTCCCTTGACTTGCTCCTGCTTCGCACCGCCCACAAATTATATTCATTTATTTATATTTCTTCCATTTCCTTTTCTTTTGTTGATTGTGTTTTCTTGGGCAGAGNAAAGATCAGATTTGTGGTTTTCTTCTGCACAGTTATATTATGTATTTTAAAGTTGAGAAGCACATCATTTTCAATTTTTGTGGAATTTACTTCTAATTTGATGAAAGAGAACCAATTAACCCTTGGATTGCAGAGGGTCCCTGGCCACCCTGTGGCAAAGTCAGAATTTTTTTTGGGGGATATGAATTTCTGTTTGACTGAAGGTCACTGAAATACCTCCAGGTTACCAAGGCCTAAGTCAGGAAAAATCTGGGTGCAGAAAATCCCATTCTCTCAAGAAATCCCCAATGTTAATCATATTGGGGACAGAAGTTGCCTCAATATAATTAGGTGTGTAAAGCAGATCGCAAAGAGTAAGAGTATACATGAAAAGCAGTAATGAGCCTGGGACAAGGGCCAAAATTCCTTCTTGGAATTCTTGGGTTAAGAAGTGAGGATATATTTCAGGAATTAGATCACACAACTTAGCAAGCTCTTGCTTCAACTAGATAAATGGTGAAGATGATTCTTCTATATTGATTCTAAGTTCTGCAATTTACCAGCATGACTAGTTATATTCAACCTTCAATAGCCTTTACAAGCCCTTCATAAGGCTTGTCAATTGGTTTTCAGAGGGAGGTTAAATTCTACAATATTCAAGTCAATTACATCATTAATTTGCATCCTATAAAAAATCCTATGCTGGGAATGCAAAAAAATGCCTCCCAGCAGAGATACTTTTTTGAGGCAAAATTTTTTGAAGTATAAAAAATTGGACTTTTTTCCAACTTAGGCGTTAGTTTAAAAATCAGATTTTTAAAAGTTACAGAGATGATGGGGACAAAATTTGGCAAAAATATCCCAACCACACAATAGTTGAATAATTTCCCATTGAAGTCTTTTTGGGGAAACCTGATCCAACATGCGGACATTCTGTATCATAGGAACAATAAGGTCCAAACACCAATTACTTCCACATCTTGGGGTCTCACTGTAATTTTTGTTGTTGAAAAAGTATATTATTGTAAGTGCACATTCGTTGTTCAAACGTTGAGTTGTGACCGGAGTGGGACTTTTAGTACAGACTTATTAAAAGCAGAGGAAGTCAAACGACTCACACTCACTTGACTGACTGACTGACTTACTACCTGACTCGGAGTCAGGTGGCCTGGGGCCTGTCTTTTTATTCCCTTGACTTGCTCCTGCTTCGCACCGCCCACAAATTATATTCATTTATTTATATTTCTTCCATTTCCTTTTCTTTTGTTGATTGTGTTTTCTTGGGCAGAGGTCAAGTTGTGGCGCTGTTTTCCGTGCCAGTGCCCGCAGTAGCCTTGCGAGGAGCTGGAAGACAAAACACGTTCCGGCTCTGTGCATTCATGTCATCATCATCATCATCTTCGTTCCTGTTTTATTATTTCCTTTCATTCTTATTTGTTTTTCCTGAAAAGGCAACATGAATAATTACAGACGCTGAGTCGACTTGACTTGACATGAAGTGAAGCTTCATCGGCGTTTAACCTTGGATATACTCGTATGGGACCCACTGGAATATAAGAAGCCGCAATATAAATTTTCCTGCTCTTCCTCATCTTTATTCATTGTCATTTTCCCCCTTTTTCTTCCGTCTTTTTCTATAATATGAACGTTCAGGAACAGCATGTTATTGCGTAATTCCTGTTCGGTAAGGTGTGAAAATATAAGTAGTACGTCATGGAGAAAAAGAAAAGAAAAAAGAGAGAAAGTTGGATATTTTCGCTTGGGTCGAGTCCGCTTCTTTTTTTTCCCAACTTTTGCCTTCTTCTATACTTACTTTTTATTTTTTCTCTTTATATTTTTTAAATGACCTTTCTGAAAAAAAGGGGGGATATCGTTAGTCGTTCGTTGCTACCTTCAATAAGAGGGCACAAGTTTCGACTCGCACGGAACATGTCCTTCTTTTTCGGCATAAAATTTTATTACTTTGATGATTCAGAACGGCCAAAAATCGATAAATATTTTTGGCTTCTTTCGGGATACAGATAAACGTTTTATTTTCAGAAGATTTTCAATATTTGAGTCTCATTTCAAGCTGCACTCAAAAACCGTAAATCAGCGTTTCATCTGCAATAAACCTCGTCGACATCAAAAAACGCATCTTCGCAAAACAGAAATATATATAATCTGCTTTTTCCTGGCAGCGCGCATAATTTCTGATGATGGGCGTTGCCCACGTTCTCTCAGAAACATCATCCACTTGAAAGTAATTTGAAAACGTAAAGAAAAAAATGCAGGAACTTCATATTGTAAAGAAAAAAACAGCAAGTTTCTTGAAGCGAGACAATGACGACGCCCGTCCGAGTCGCGGTGAATCGTCATATAAGAGAACGCAACCGCGACCATAAAAAAACAAAAGAAAAAATAATCCACTTGAAAAAAAAAAGAATCTCTAGATTCTCTACGCAGCAGCAGAAATTTCTAGCGTAAATGTAAATTTTTTTATACATCTTTGAAGTTTTTTTTTTTTGCTGGAAGAGGAATATGGCACGAGATGAGAATTAATGTTTTTGTACAGCATAATATCGTGCTGTTTTGGATGTGAAATAGCTCCATCAGATATGACTAAAATTTGCAAAAGTCATTGCGAATGACTCGACGAATTCTTGCTTTTAATTAAATACAGTATTTCATTCTGAAAAAAATGATCGTATCAGCGAAATTTTAAGAATTTTACTTTGTTTCTTGTCAGGAAATCTCAATAAACTGCAGATTTTTGTCACAAGTCGCAAGAAGAAAATTTTCGCTCGTTCCAGTGCTTCTAAAAAGTCTTGAAAATGGATTTTTTGGACTATGACATGGTGGTACCTTATATAAGTTATAAGATTCCCTTTTCCACCGACTGGTTCAGTAAGTTTCAGTCATTCAGTGCGCATTGGTCCTGTCGGAATTGATTAGTTGGTAGGACGGAAGGATATAAATTTTGCTGAAAAACATTCAAAGATTTTTTAGCGCAAAAAACTTTGCACCACAACATCAATTCCAGTAGGTCAAGTCACGTGATCAACATATTCGGTATAAAAATCGACGCATGAACTTGTAGAAATCAAAAGTTTTGTTATGAAATGAAGTCACTGAGATGCACAGTCAAAAATAGAACATTATTCCATAATCCATCACTGTTGAAAAAGGCTTTTTAAAATTATATTTCCATTTCTATGTTTGAATTTGTGCACTAATTACTGTACTTTTATGCGCTTCAGTCAGAGTTTAAATATCTCTGCTTCAAGATTTGTTTATCGAATTCTTTGATTACCATTCTCAAAATAACTTTTGTAAAAGATGATAGGAATTCAAATTAGGGTGTCTATTGAATTATACTTTAATGACTTCAAACGGCTCTTAATTTGATTCAAGTGCATCGATTTTTTTTTATGAAAGCAAATTTTTTGCATCTCGTTTTACCCGCAACTATTCATATTGTCAGCCGAGAAAATTATGCTGTAAATAAGGGCTTCTTTTAAGAAGCAACCTAGCCAAATAATTACTTACGTATCGTCATCGTGTTTCATTTCCTGATTTAGAGAAATTCTATGAAATACATAGAGAATGAACCCCTGCGATTTATATGTTGGGTCTTTTTCTGGCTTTGATAACTTGTTGCGACATCGCGTCGATTTGCGTGGATGATTTTGAGGCGTGTGGACAAAAGTCATTTTTGGGCGTGGATTTCCTACATTTCATATATCCTACATAATAAGTGAATGAAGAAGGAAGACAAAAAAAAACAAAAAACTTGTTACGATTCCATGAGTTTCTTTCCCTTTCGCTTTCGTTTTCAGTGAAAACTCGATTCGCTCTTTTCTTCCGACTCCGACGACTGACGAGATTTCAGTTCATTCGAGTCCCGATTTCGAATCGAGTCACGCATTTTTTTTTCCAGCATCAAGGATGAAACATTTTTGAGTGATTCATGTAAAGTGAATGTGATTTTTTTGTTTGCTTAGTTTGAGAAATGTCAACAAAAGTCATTCCGTTTTTCTGAATACGTTTGATTGTGAACATGTTGTATAGGAAACAATTCGGTTCTTGTGCTTATAGCTTGAAAAAAAAATCCAGAAATTAATCTGGAAATTGAATTGCAAAATTAAATTGATTAAAATTTCTTCCCGACAAAGCGCCAAAAGCATGTCATAGTTTAAATATCTTCAAGATATGTTTCTTTTGACACAACATTTTCGGAATTAAACGTTCCTCAATTTTTCAAGTGCTGTATTCTATCCATAATTTGCTTGTGAAGGTTCATTCACTTTACTCAAGTCGAATAACTCTGTCTAGTTTCAACTTGATCCCCAGGAAAAATTCAGAACGCAACCAACAAAGTCAAAGTAAAGACTGATGATATCTAATGAAATGAATTAGAAATTTATATAAATCGCCGATTGTTTTATGTTTTTTCAAAATTCTGCTCTTTCGGGATTGCTTTACGAATTATTTGAAACTATTTTTTTCGCTGAATTTGATGCTGCATTTTATTTCCTGCTTCACAGAGGTGGATTGCAAATATTTCCAGAAAATCTGAACCTTTTCCCAACCTTGGAGTCGACTATAAACGATGGTTTATACTTGGTTTAATGCTTGAAACCTGAGAACATATGCAGGATTAAAATCGCCATTTTCTTTACAGGTTTCTCAATTTATTTTTTCATTCCGAAAAAAAAACAAGAACCATTTTTGCTGGCTGAGGCAACAGAAGGGAAACATCTCAGCCGGTGCTACGATAATGAAGTCATTAGTTATTGTCGCCATCATCTTCTGCCAAATTTTTGCCCAATTCGCTTCCGCGTCGTCAGATCGCGAATGGAAACGAGAACGAGTCCGAGATCGGGCTTATCGGCAAAAGATCCACGGTCGACAGCAATTTCATCTCTCAGAGCAAAAATCCACAACCACGACGACTTCCACGACAACTGAAGAACCCATTTACGTGCCAGAAGACGAAATCGTCGTCGAAGGTGACGACTATTTAGTGACACCATCAGAAACCCCGACGACAAGCACGACTCAGAAACCGAAACCCGTGGAACCCAGGATGTCCAGGTGGAACCCGACGAGCTGGAAACGGAAATTCACCAGCTTTTTCGGAGCTGCAGACTCGAAGAAAATTGCTGCTGAAAAACAATCAGTCGTCAGTGCTGAAGATTCGGTTGAAGGAGAAACAGACGCTGAAAGAGAAGCGAGATGTTGGTTCATGAATTTTAATATCATTTTTATTTTATTTTTCAATAATCTTATCCCTCATGAAAAATGGGTTCGAAAAATCGAATACTTCTTCATATAAGGGAATTCAAGAAATAGATAAATTCAAATTAGGTCCTCTGCTGAATGATCCAATCTAAAATTGTGCAAAATAATGCAATTTAGAGTTTAAATTGATCTTCAATTCCAAAAATTAGGAGACCAATCTATTGATGAAAGCAGAAGCAGTTTTTTTTCTCCCAGATTCGCAGAACTGCTACAGGGAATTATATCGTTGAATCACTAGCTTTTTTAAATCGTTTACTGTAAATAATGAATAATTAACTCCTCAAGCAAAAAATTCGCATTGCAAGATTTCACAGAAGAAAAAAAGTGTTGATCAATGGTGCCTCAGACGTTTCCTTCGCTTGAGTCAGTTAAATATGTAAATTTATCTGTTGGTCTCCCTTTCATTCATTTATATTAAAATTTATTTTGATAGTTTTGAACCTGTTCACTTCAATTCGCATTGCTAAATCACAAAAAATAAAAGCTTTGGCCAATGATATGTCATATGCATACTGCATTCGAGTCAGTTCAATAATGCAAATATTTATCTGTTGATCCCTTTTCTATTTATTTATTTATTTATTTATTTATCTATATTTAAATTTATTTTGACAGTTTTGAACCTGTTCACTTGAATTCGCATTCATAAATTACAAAAATAAAAAGCTTTGGTAAATTGTGTCTCATCATATGTATCCTGCATTTGAGTCAGTTCAATATGGAAATTTATCTCTTTTCAATTTATTTATTTATATTTAAATTTCTTTTGACAGTTTTGAACCTGTTTATTCGCATTGCTAAAAAAAAAAACGTTGGTCACGCGGGTATCTCATGCGTATACTGCCTTTGAGTCACTTCAAAATGAAAATGTATTTGCTGGTCTGTAATTTATTTAATTATACTGATTTTTTTTACAGTTTTGAACCTTTTCACTGTGGTGAGATTCAACA